AGGTCTAAACAGGAAGTCAGCCTTCCGCTCTTTGTAAAAAGATTAAAGCAAAGACATGGCAAGCTAGAGCTTAGAAAATCGTTTGTAAAGGATCAACTTTCATCATCTAAGATTACTGGATCCCCTTACAGAGGGGGGATTTTTTCTGGACTGTTTAAACCTGCAGAAGAGTGCGTAAAGAAAAGTAATTTACCACCGTCTTGAACCTGGAAACGGGGTGTCAGGACAGACGTTTTCGGAGTTCATTGACTTTAGACAAACGTTTTTGACAGACAGTTAAAAGAAGAGGAACATAGTGATTCCATTGTTCTCCTTCGCAGCCAAAAGGAGCAAAATATTGACAAAATATCTGAAAAAGGAAACTTAGTTGTTAGATCTGCTTTAAAAAAAGAGAGAGAGAGATGGATACAAATAGAAGTTCTTCCCCTAGAGGGAGCTTGTGAAACTGTTGTTGAATCTAAACTGGGGAGCTTTGCAGCTGCAATAGATTAAGACCGTGGGATCAGACTTTTGATCTTGCACAACAATGTACTGGGAGGCTCTGGTGCATGCTTTCTGTAAGACAAGTGCTTTGTTGGAACAGTTACATGAGAAGACGGATTTGATGACTGTTGCGATCACAAATTTTGGACAGGTAGTGGGTATCTATACAGAACCCACTCAGGAATCAATTCAGGAGTGTGCTCTGACAGATCAGATGAGGGAGGAGGTTGTGGCTGGACCCCGGGAGGCAGAGATGGAGGGAACTGTGGCCCAGCAGGAACATGAGTTGTTGGATCTGACCAATGAACCTGGAAAAAGCCAGATTTGGAGACATAGAGTCTTGTTTGGCTTGGAGATGGGGGGCTGGATAGACCCCCCTATGCAGGGATATTTTGACTTTTCAAGTCTGGCGTTGGGCCGGGAGGAGTTTGGAGTTGTGGGGATCCTCAACTTTGGAGGGACCTTGAAACATGCCTTTAAATATCACATGGAGTTCAGTGTGGACTATGGAAAAGGGGCTGATCTGTCGAGAAGGGATAAAAATATTGTCAAGCTGGAGTCTCCACAAGTGAAAGGAGCAGAAGACAAAGTAAAGTACAGGTATAAATATGAAGAAGATCTGCGGAAGGGACATGGAAGAGACTTAAGGGCCTCGGACATATGGCTACCAGGTTAATGAACTAGTTGGATGGGATAGAAAGGACTGACAAAACCCGAGACCAGGAGGAAGAGACGTTGGATGAAGATTGGAAGAAAGTTTTAAAAATTCTACTTAGGAATGTTTTTTAAAATTAATGAGTATTAGAATAATGTTGGAATGAAATGATTTGGCTTTAGCAGAAATGTTAAAAAGAACTATGTAAGAATATGATATGGTTATGAGAAATTGTTATAAATAAGATTTAAGTTTTAAGTTTTAGGGTTTTTTATGGTAAGATAAGGTTAAAATAGAGTAAGGTAATTTAATGAAAGAATATTATGAAAAATGGAAAGGATTTGCTGTGACAATCAACAACTAAAATACAAAAAAGGGAGGTGTGAGGAGGTCGATGAAATAAGGTAATGACAGTTAAGGATTTGGGAATATTGGATTTGTTTTTAAATCTTTGTGGTTTATTTTTGTTCTCTGATTTTGATGTGTTATCTGTTTTGTTTTTGCTTTTTGACTTTGACTTTTATCAATGTGTATTGTTTAATTGTTATTTGTTTCTTTCTTGTTTTTTCCTTCTTTTTCTCTTTGTTTTTTTTCTGTTATTTTAAAATTTTCAATAAATATCATTAAAAAGAAAAGAAAAGATAAAAGTCAAGTGACCTAAATTAGAAGAGGCAGTGGTCATGGTTGGCATGCCAGTTCCATTCCTGGCATCTCCAGGTAGGGCTGGAAAAGACTCCTGCCAGTCAGGGTGCAAGCTAAACTTCATTGCCAGATGTTCAAGACCAGACATTGCTGTTAGCTGTAATTTGCTAAGCAGACAAGTCAACAATCCTAGTGTCAAGGATTGGAAAGCTCTGAAACGCATAGCGCGGTATTTGAAGGGCACTATGCATTACAGACTGAGATTTAACAATCAGAAGTCTGGTGGTCTTGAGATATTTGCAGATGCAAGTTTTGGAAGTGACGCTACAGACAGGAAAAGTACGTCTGGAGTTTGCTACATGTACAATCAGAGTCTGTTTGATTGGTCATGCAAGAAGCAAACAACAGTTAGTTTAAGTACTTGTGAAGCCGAACTGAATGCACTGTCTTATTCACTTAAGGATTGTGAATGGTTAGTACAATTGTGCAAAGATATGAAAATTCCTGTCAAATGTCCAATCCAGGTTTACCAGGACAACAAAGCATGTTTGGCTTTGCTGAAGTCTGAAGGTTGTAAGCAAAGCACAAAGCACTTGCAATTAAAGTTGCAGCATGCAGGGAATGTATTCAGAAGGGACTCGTAACGGTGTCCTATATGCCAGGTAATGAAATTCCTGCTGATGTATTGTCCAAGATTGTATCGAGGGATCAACACTGTACCTATGTGCAGAAGTTGGGTTTGTACTGATACTGTACGAACACGCTGCCCAGTGATGTTCACAGAAAGGGGGAGGATGTTGGTTTCTGCTTTCCTTCACTGTGCAGCTAGCTTGTCACGAGACAGGTGTTTACATTCCACAGTCTGTACTGTTGGAGTTTCTCACGGGAAAGGGAGACTGGATGTGACGTACACTGGTTTCCTGTTTTTCACTGTGTGATTCTCTCCGAGCTGTTGAGGAGAGAGGATGCATTTTCTGCTCCGGCAGAGGCAAGATGTCTTTCTGTAATATACTAGCTTTGAACTGTAAATAAAGCAATATAGAGTATGTAGCACGTATTACTCATCCTTCCGCTGGGCACGAGACTCTGCTTAAATCAACAGTTAACAGCAAGCTAGGTGGACCAATGGTCTGACTCAGTATAAGGCAGCTTCCTATGTTCCTATACTGCGTACTTTACTGTTTGGAAATGAAAAGTGCAATTGCAAATGCACGTATTTGGAAGTATCGAGGGTTCTAGGATCCTTATGAAAATGCTAATGTTGAATGTAAATCTCTATAACAAGCTACTCTATTGAGTAGAGTGGTAGAACCTTCATGAATACGTCCCATTGAGATGTGTTTTCTAACCTCCTCCTTGTCTCCTTAAATGCTCAAAGTTGTTTATGATGGAACAGCTCCCTCTTTGATGAAACACCCATGTGTTTAACTCTACTAATTTAAAAGGACCTCTGATTAATTGTTTGGTAAACTCATTGGGATGGAAAGGGAACTTGTTTAAATTCCTAATATTTTCTTTCAACAGTAAAAACAAAATGGCATGATTTCCCCCCTCCCTCCTCCTGCACTTCCAGTAGACAGAACCACTGACATCACAAATCAATACATTACTGGCAATTGTAGCCTATTTTAGCTAAAGTGCAATTTTCCAAAGCAATCCCTCCAAAAAGTCCTGACATCAGTGATTTCCATGATAGAACTGAATTAAGCCCTTGGATCACAATGGCCATTGTCTGTCATTTCCCAGTTCATTAAGACACATAGCACACTCAATTCTATTAGCTGTTGCCTGTTTGGAAATTGGCTTTTGTGGTCACAGGGACAAGTGTGGTTCTGGGAGGTGGATATGTTTGATTCCCCCCACACACTTTATATGAATATGGGAGGTTGAAGACAAGTGCTCCATGCCATAGCTGGCTCAACTGAAAGTCAACATGGCTGAAAGCATTACAGCAAAGGCTGGGCACTTGTCCCCGCCTCTATAGCTATGTAAATTTCAGAGGAGACAATGAGTGTCACAAAGCAGAGCTTCCCCTACATAGTCAGAGAGACAAGAGGCAGGATAGATGACTGGGACACTGTCAGGAGAATGGGGCATGGCTGGCTAGCATTCTCAGAGGCACCAACCCCTTCAAGGGGAGAATGGACAAGACACCTGGATTTTATGAGCTGAGTCAAGAGACTGAGGAAGATGGATTGAGGTGTTTTACTGGAGAAGAAAAGAAGGTACAGTTATAGAAGAAGAAGACTTGAAGGTAGCCCAATGAACCCACTTTAATGTGCAGGTCTTGCAGCCAGGACAGCCCCAGTGATGACCTAGACTTCTTGACTCTGCCCAAAGAGCAAAAAGGACCCTCTACAATTTTTGGAGTAAGAGGCAGAGATGGTTTTTATTTCCTTTTCTAATTCAGAAACACCTCACAATAAGAACCAGGGCACCAAATGAAGACCCTGATAGATGGCCCTATACATTTAAAATAAAACAAGTGATCATAGTATAGGGTGGAACACCCTCTGACCTTCCTGTGGTTTGAGCACAGCCTTGCATCTGATAAACCCAATCATTAGCCGTAGAAGCTGAGGTCATAATAAACCCTTTAATCTGTAAGATACAAGTCTACCAATTATTTATCAGCTTGCAACTATCTCCTACTTAATGGCTTCTAGGTTTGCTTTATAGGTGCATTAAACAGGGAAAGTATTGCCATTACACCAGGGACAAAAATAAGTATTGACTTCTTTGAACGGGAATAAACTCCCATGAGAGTTCATTTACAGGGCAAGGAAGAGTTCCAAGGAGAGGGGCTCCATGGACAGCAAAGTGGTCTGTGAAGAGGATGGCAGAGGAGCAAGAAGAGAGTTGACTTCATGTGTATCAAACTGAAATGTTTTACCGGTGGAATTCTGAGATATATATAGATATATAGATATATATATATATTCCACAGTGGAGGGCTGCCGGGGGTCGGGTAGGGATAATGCTTTACCACCACCACCACCGTAATAATAAAAAAATATTATCAAAGCAAAAAAGATAATGAGGTGGATGGCCAATACAGCTCTAACAGGAAGAGTCAAACTCCAAGCCCTTCTATGTTTGATCAGTGGGGCAGCAGGAGAGGAGGCCTGGGATGGCATTCCCTTACCCATAGAATTGTTTTTAAACTGCCTATGCTTTCATATTACTCAATATAAGAATGGTATCCCCCCTTTTAGCAGGGGTGAGGTTGCCCCAGCCCAACTTGGAAGAGATTTGATTTGGTTTCTCCTAGAGGAGGAGGAATTGGAGTCCCATGGACAGGGGTGACAATGAGAAGGGGACTGAACTGCCTCTTGGTTGGTGATGTTGGGCCAGTGACCACCTCTCAATCCAACGTACCTCATCCTAACAAAAACACCTTAAAGAAAAAGAGGTAAGCAAGTAAGTAAGTAAGTAAATGTCACACTGGGGCAGTTTTGGGTTGGGGGCACTGCAGAGTGATTACCCAAAGCCTGGGGCTTTGGGAGGTATTTCAGGGTGCCTTTTGAATCAGATATGGGCAAGTGGGTGAACTCTTGACAGCAACACCTAGGGCACATGTTCAGCTCAAAGGCCCAGGGCTCACCTAGGGAGAGGGAAATTTCCCTAATCCTATTGGCTGAGGAGCCACAGAATGTTGGTGCTCACATGCCCAGGGGGACACAAAGGACACTGCCCTCAAACCTCACCTGCCCTCACTTCTTTAACTGGCTTGTTATTCTATGGATCTTCTTATTGTTTTATCTGAAAAAATATACCGTAACCTTTCACCAATGTACTGCCTTTTGAGGTCATGCGGGCAATGAGTAGTAAACCAGAAAAAGTAGCTATCAGAGAACCTCTAGAGCTTGGTATGGAGATGTTCAGCTTGTCACAGAGGAAACATTCCCCGTTTCTTCCATGGTTTGACAACTGGTGGTTGGCTTGTGAGCAGACTTCCTCATAGTCACAGTGACTGTGCTGCTCCCAGGATGTGCCCTTCACATGCCTTTGTTTATCTTATGGGATTTGTGAAGCCTGTTTTCATCTCAGCAGCGTAGCAGACACCCCAGGAATAAAATCAGCAGGACAGGTTCTTTGTTATTAGAAGTCTGTCAGTTGAGAGCAAAGTCTCTTTCAGAGCTTTTGTTGTTGAACTAGTTTCATTCACTCAGGGACACATTCAACCAACACAGTTAATAACATGAATATAACATGAATAACCTATAAGGAAGGGTGTGTGTGAAATCTTTAGATTAAAAATAAAAGCACATAAAACTTTTAAAAGCCCAGATCAGCAGGCTTTCATGCATCATACTGTAGATTCACATATGACCAACATCACACATAGATAAGATCAAGGAATTATCAAGGGAGACTGGCAAAACTGGAATCCATTTTTAAAAACAGTGTTTTTCAGGATTCCAATTAGGATTATTGCACAGTTTAGGGAGTTCCATTCTGTACCCAAAGGTTTGCACATGTTAGAGGATTGATCACCCCCGCTTTTCAGCAGTAGCTATCATGCCTGCATTGCAAATTCCCATGTTATATTACTTCCTTCCCATGTTGATGTTCCTGTCTGGTGAAAGGTTGCAATGGAGAGCAAGGATGTGAGTGGGGGAATCACAATTCCACTGGACTTGTGGGATTATCCACACAATTCTTCATCAGACATTGTTTTAAGGCTAATTCTCCCATCCTCAAAAGCAATTATGTCCCATTTGGCGTTCCTGCAATTGCTTGATGCTTAGGTTTTGATGCTCCATCAAAATGTTATCTTTAGTACTTTGCTTCCAACTTGATTTATACTTCACTACAGCTAAGCCTAGGTTAGACATGTGTGTGTGTTTATTTACAATATTTATGTATTGCCTTGTAACCAAAAAGCAAACAAAATACACCCTTATTTACATAGTCATGACTGGACCTAATGGTCAGGGGTCCCTTTACCTTTGGGCAACAGTTAAAACACTTAGGTTCTCACTATACATAGTTCATCTCCCTTTATCAGAACTGGCACAGTGAAGAGTCCCAGATTAGGCCCATTGCCATCATTTGATGGAAGCAGAGTTAGCACAGGATCCAGCGGATTCAGTGCTGGCCCAGTCCCAGCTCTGTAAACATCCCATTTGGCAGGATGCTTCCACCCACCCACATTGAGACCCTGTGAATGCAGAAGGGCCTCCTGCCAGCTGTGGAGTCCAATGGAGCTGGATATCACTAGGTGGAGAGTACCTCTGCCCCATCTAAACCCCTTCAGAACAGTAGATCAGGGGGTTGGAGTGCTCTGCCCAGCTGCAATCTTATACCCACTTACCTGCGAGTCAACCCCATTGAACTCAGTGGAACTTTACATCTGAGTAGAAATGCATAGGATTGCACTAACCCACATCTGTGCGTACTTATTTTATTCCATTTTCAAAATAGCAAATACAGGGAGTCCCAATCCAGAGAGCAATGTTGACTGTCACTTAGATTTGTTTCAGATTGTTATCACACTTGGTAGAGATACTGGCTGAGGTTGAAATTTGAAAGCACTGGAAGAAGTCGCTTGTGACATAAATAATTTGAAATAAAAATGTCACGGTTTTGACTTTTTGCAAATGACTGCACTGAACTTCCAAACTGTTGCAATTCAAAAAGCTAATTCAGGATTGTGTACATTAATGCCAATGCCCTATAAAACTGCCAGAATATTTTTTTAAAAAATAAAAAAGTCAGCAAAGGCAGAGAGGCATTAGTTTTTAGCCTGTGTCAGCATAAAGGTTGCCTCAGTTGTTTCATCTCAAAACAGCTGCATGCTTTCATTGACTTTTTTTGCCCTTTCTTTGTGCACTCATCCTAACCTCTTAGGTTGTTTCCTGGCCTCACTTTGCTGACCTATGACCGGCGCTGACCTTTAGCTAGAGAATGTGACATTTTGTTCTCCTCTGGCGGATGTGTGAGGCTCTCATTATTGAAAGGTATGTGAAAATAATGACCTCTAGTGACCTTTCAGTTTCCTTTCATTTACTGGTGTCCTTTAGGTGCTTGTTCAGCATATTGCCATGCCCAGTCGTTGTGTATGTCTGCTTAGTGGTGCTATATTAAAATTTCTTCAATAAACATGCATCTCCTGTTTATTAATTCCATGCTTCATTTCTCTCCCTTATTGCCTGTTCAAGCAAATGCCATGGAACCTGACAGGAAGGAACAGGTGGGCAATTGGCTTCATAGGATCAGACGACTGCAGTGGAATGAAAAGCAAGCATAACCAAAGGATGGTCCCAACCTAAGATATGGTATCTGCCGGCTTCCAACAAATTAACCTCACAAAAGAGACAAGATCACAGCAGGAGCAAGAAAGGTGCGACTCTCCAAAATGAGTGAAACATGGGAACCTTTTCATTTCAAGGGTCATATCTCCTCAGCTTACCACACTTTTGAGTGACAACTGATCCATGGTTATTTGGTGTACCTTTGTGGACATTTGACATGCTGATGAAGAACATTTATTGAAACAGTCTATTATTCCGGAAGTACTGTTCTGTTGCTGTGTTTGGAGCACCTACCATCATTCTTCTGTGTTGCTGTGTTTATAGCATCATCTCGCTCCCCCTCACTTTTGGCAAAATTCTGTATTAACTTTGGAAGGCGTTTAGCCTCAAAATTCAGTGATTCTTTATGGTCAGATACTAATCTGATCATTTCCTTTCATGGAATATCTACTTCACTCTTATTAGTTCGTGACTCCATGTACATATTGTATGTTTTCTGATTGTGAATAAAGAAATAGTTTGATAGTCTTATATAAATATTGTTAGTATACAACAGTCATACCTCGGGTTGAATGTGCTTCGGGATGAGCACATTCGAGTTGCGCTCCGCGACAACCTGGAAGTAATGGAGTGCGTTACTTCTGGGTTTCGCCGCTTGCGCATGTGCAGACGCTCAAAATGACGTCACGTGCATGCGCAGAAGCGGCGAAAAGCGACGCGCGCGCAGACGTGCTGTCGCTGGTTACGTTTGCTTCTAGATGCAAACGGGGCTCCGGAATGGATCCCGTTTGCATCTAGAGGTACCACTGTATTAGCCTACATGTTGCTTTATGTTTCTGTGGTGATGGACAGGGCCAAAGCTAAAAGGGGGCAGGGGGCTCCATGTGCCTCTTTCTTTTGTACATTAGGCCACCTTTCAGCCACACAAACCAGAAATTTCTACACACACCCTCACCCCAATTAGGCAAAAGTCACTTTCACAATTCAAAGACAAGTTCTAGCCAGGCAGAAGGGAGGAGGGAGTGCAGAGGAGAGCTGCTGTGGAGTGTGGTCAAGTGAGGGGCCATGGCTGAGGAAGAGACCCAAGAGCCTGGCAAAGTGGCCTGGACTTCCTGAAGTTCCTCACCCCTGATGTAAGCCCAGCCACACAGTAGGGATGGGGAAGGAAGAACCACCACAAAGCATACCTCCTTGGTTGCCCAAACACAAATATAAACCCATGTTCATCTATAGGGGAAAATGTTTCAAGGGTTGTTATATGCCAATCAGCTGAGAACTACCTGCCATTCAAACTCATACACTATGTATTTCACTGCAAATGAGTGCTACTGTGTTCAGTGTGGCCAGCTCCCAGGCAAAGGTGCTGACGACTGCATCTTAAGCACACCAGGGAGTCATCCCCATTTAACATAGTGGGGCGTACTGCCATGCAGTATTGGTTCATCAGGTGGGACAGAGCTACTATGTAAGTGCTGTTTCATTGTTGCTTGCTGAGAAGGAGAAGGGAGAAGCAGTCAGTGCAGTGAAAATGCACCAGTGGAGCCAATCTGGCACTCCTGCCAATGCATATGCACAATGCTGACCTCCCCAAAAGCTTCCAGTAAGCAAAAGCAACCTGCTTGCCAAGAACCTATGGGAGTGGCTGCTCCCAGCGAGCCAACTCTGCTTCCAAGTAAGCATGGACAAGTTTGAGCTACCACTCCCCCTGCCCCTGAGTTTGGCTATCCTAACCATATTTACTCACGGATTTTAATATGATGAGCTTTCAAGTAACTGTGCTTATGTGTGCGGCATTAATGCCTAACATGCATTAATACTCAAAACATTAGGCATAATAAGCAAAAATAAAATTATCTGGAAGCTTCTCCTTTCTGAGGTCTTGTTTATTTCAGGACTCAAGCTGAAAAATTGCCCAGATAAACAAATCAACTAACTTAAAGAAACCATGGGACTGCAGTGTATATTTATTGTCACCAGTTCCGTCCCCCAAATGTGTAGTGACATTTTAAACTTTAATAGGCCACATCTTCTTAGCCAGAAAATGCAGACAAATGTATGAAAGGTATGAAAATAGTTATGTGAATTGTTGTATTGATTTATAACATTTTCATCTAGACGTTTTATAAAAAAGATATTCAAGGCAGCCAGTGATATGTATACATAAGTTAAATGACAGTCAAACCAAAGGCTACAACAACAATTCAAAAGCAGTATAAATACAGTAGCAGTTAAAATCCATTTAAAAAGATGGCACTTAACTGCCTGCTGAAAGGCAAGCTGTCCTGGGGACCTTTGGCAGATACATCTGTTTATTTAAATTGTTGATACTTCCAGTGAACATTTCTCCTTGAAGTCAAAGTCATGGAGGAAGTTGTTGAGGACAAACTTTGGTTAGATTTGGAGCAGGACACAGGTGCCCTTGTTAAAATGTGGAAGTTGAAATGCAGAGGATGTGGACACTTGTATATTGGAGAATTTGGCTGCCTTGGCGGTGTTGGACATGCAACAAGCAATACATGGTTTTTTCCATAGTGCTCTAAAGACACCTGAAGCTCCAAATTAAATGGAAAGACCAGCAACATGGCTCCTTCCCAGGGCCATGCATGGGAGGGGGCCGCAGGATACACTTGCCCTGGACCTCAGAGGGCTAAACTGACCAGGGACCAGCTGCTTTTTTGTTTTATAACTTTATTCTAACAAAACTCTTGCCCCAGGCCTAAAACAAGCTCTGCATGGGCTTGCTCCTTTCTAAACCAAAACCAACATTTTACAGTAATTGAGCCAGTATCCTGGTTCATTCTCAGAATAATGTGGGAAGAAATGACATCACAGACTTATCCTGTGTTACCACTGTTAGCAGCACAGCACAGGAGGGACATGTATGGGAGCAACTGCCGCATGAGTAAGGTCATTCCGGAAGGGCCTCGAGTAAATCTTTAGCCAGTGAGCATAAATATTTTATATGCCCTACATTTAAGAAAGTTAAAGTGCTTCAGGTCTTTTATAGCCAGACTAGGCAGCTGAGTAATTCTAATCACTATTTTGGGCAAGCCTCATATATGTTCCATTAGAAGTACAAATACATTCAATTAATGGTCAAATTCTTTTTGCTGCCATGCGGCCAAAGGAGAGTCCTGTGCACTCTATGGCATCTGAATAGATCTAGGAATAGTAAAGCTTTTTGAGGAATGTGGGAAATACCCATGAGGGAAGTGGCATACAGCACTGAGGAAGGCAAGGGAGAGGTCACTGTGACTATCCTACTGACTGAATGAACCCAAGTGGGAAAGAATGTCACACTTCTCTTCACCTTCTCTGTACAGTGGTACCTCGGGTTACAGATGCTTCAGGTTACAGACTCTGCTAACCCAGAAATAGTACCTCCAGTTAAGAACTTTGCTTCAGGATGAGAACAGAAATCGTGCGGCGGCCGGAGGCCCCATTAGCTAAAGTGGTACCTCAGGTTAAGAACAGTTTCAGGTTAAGAACAGACCTCCGGAACGAATTAAGTTCTTAACCCGAGGTACCACTGTACAAATAGTAAGCATGACTATTATAAAAGTCAATATCTAGAGTCTACTGGATATTGTATTTCCCCTTCCACCTTCAGCATGAATTTATATTTGTTCTCGTGTCTGTTTTAAACAATAATATTGTTCTCATCTCCCCCCCCCCCAATTTATTTCCAGGGATACGTTAAGAGCCATATCTTTCCCCATATCTTTTTAAAACACATATTTAACAACAAACTGAAAATCAGCAATATATATTTGATATAAATCTTCCCCTTCCGGTTGATTTTTGCCTTCCTAAGGACATGCCCTCAGGCTCAGTGGTTTACTATGAATGAAAATGATTAAAATAAACGGGGAAAGATTGAGATTTAAAATAAGCACTCAGATGTGTTGAGTCAAATAAGAGTCTTCTAAAAAGTAGGCTAAAACCCTTTTAGTATGGAAAGATTATGCTCCCTCTGGATTTTGAATGCTTAGCACAACTTGTTACAAGTCAGTCGAATAGACCCGATAACCACAGAGGAGCTTTTCCTGTCATCCACATGACAAACCGAGTCTTGGAGTCTGGAGTCTCCATGAATCACCCTCAGTCTTGATGAATCTCTTGAGGACAATCCTGGAGATCTAATGGCCCACTGCTACTGTCTCACACCAATAGATGCTGGTTGGGTGTATGTGCAAGGTGCTCCTGTCTGGCCTTTACTAATCAGCTGAGCCTTTAAGAAAAGGCCACAGCTACTGGGGTTGTTTGTTTGATCCAGTTGTGGGCCAACTCCAAGTGGTTAAATGGTGCGAATCAAGTGGTCTGAGCATGAAGGTGCAGGGAATACAAGAGAGGGAAGAACCACGGAAACCAGCATATGGAGGAGAAGAGGTGCTATGACAGCCTAAGGACAGACAGAGAGGAGCTAGGGGTTTGCTCAGCTGGGGATTCATTCATTCTCCCAATAAATCTGCTTTCCCTTTACAGACAAAGGGGAATTCTCTAACCTGGTGTAAAGAGGAGTGATAGAGAGGCACTACTGATTGATCTCCAGCCAAAAAGAAGTTCCCTGTATCAGTTTCTGCAGTAAAGAGTGAAGCAGCCATTGCGCCAGGAGAAGGCCTCTCTGTACCATACTCGGCACACAACTTTCCTTTTCTAAATTCAACAAACAAACAAAAATTCAGTCCATGACAGACAGCAGTGGAGGTGAAGGACATTTAGACAGTGGCACAGTAAAAAAAGATAAGGTATTTGTGTGGGTTTAAATGATGAATGGGGCAAGGAAAATGCATTTAAAACTTGGCTTGGCAATGTCAACACAGTTATAGCAAAAGGCACTTTGCCACCTGTGATTTTCAGTTAAATATGAGGGAAGAAAAGCAATGAAAAGTCATACAGAAAGCATAAAGTTAGAGAACAACGAAAAAGAATGACACGTGTCTCATCAGGTCGTACCGAAAAACGCTTATCCTTGCAGACAATAGCTGAAGTGGGGCAAATATACCACAGTATTTCCTACCATTTATATTATGGAAGTCAAGGCTGTGCAAACAAATGCTTTCAAGAATATGGCCCAAAGTGCAAAAATATAAATATTTTGGACAGGCAACAGTTAACAGCATAACAGTACATATTTGACCATCAAAATCTCTAGAACATTTGCTGCTTCTGTGACCCTTGTTCACTAGCCAGGGGAATTCAGGATGCCCCGGGATCAAGCCAGAAGCTGTGGTGGCTTTAGGAATTTTGTGACTGTCCTGGCAAAACTGGGGCACTTGGGGATTATGGAACTCCCTTACCACAAAGGAGCATCTGTGGGAACCAGGCAGAAGGACTTCTCAGTAGTTACACCCACCCTGTGGAACACCCTCCTGTCAGATGTCAAGGAATAAACAACTTTTAGAAGACACCTGAAGGCAGCCCTGTATAGGGAAGTTGTATGTTTCTTATAAAGCTGCCCAGAGTGGTTTGGGCA